TATATTTCGACATGTTACCGGGTGCTGAGTTGGAGTAAACCTGCAACCTGTTAAAATGAAAATTCTCTAAAAATTTTTTCTAAGGTAAAGCTTTCAACCTAGAGTTCGAAAACCTTTTGGCTTCCGTCTCAACCCTTTCCTCAAATCTGAACTCTCTTTGTAGAAATTGTCACCAAGAATTTGTTAGGATGGACAAATGACCCAATGGCCATGGTTTTCTGAGGAAAATACAGTAGAAACTTCCCTTGAAAATGGTGTTTAAACATTGAAGTGCTAACGACAAAGAACACTCAATGCTCTTTACAAATATCGTTAGGTTCTGCAATAATGAAGCTCATATGTTGGTTCTTTTTGGTTAAGTTTATCATTCCTGTGTAGGTGTCAATGAAGTTATACAAAGTTTGAGGGTAATTTAACTTTTATTTTCATGTTTTGTTTTCTCTTTTTTTTTTAAATTTTTATTTTTTGTTAAAGATAAAGCTGAAATGCATTAATCACTTCAAGGACATAATCAGAGATATTAACCAAAGGGGGAATTGAAGCTATTAGCTAGACTTATTAAAAAGGAAAAGGTTCGCTTTCGTTTTGCATGCCACCTCATGAGTTGTGCTGTTGAATCTTATTGGAATGAAGGAAAGTCGAGTCTTTGAAATGGCAAATTTATTGTGAAAATCTGGTTCAGTCAAACACTTCATGTCGATAACAAAGAAAGGGATGAACAGTGTCTGTTCCATGTGGAAAATGGTTCCAATGGCAAGTTTGGCATAAGATTTCACCCAAGTTCATGTTGTGGTCACTCACCATATTGACCAACTTCTTGTTGTGGTCACAACTCAAGAATGACCCAAGCCATGGCAAGAGCTCTAATGTATTACTGTAGCACGAATTGTAGTTGGCCTTAAGCCACAGGGAAGGAGGAGGAATCCAACTCCAATTACCCTCATTATGATCACTCTAGAATCTTGGATGAGGATGGTGTACTACATTGTTGCTCCAAAGTAGCAATGTTGAGGTTGCTCTGGCTGCCCTCGTTCTATTTGTTTTTTCTTCTTTTGAATATATATTTTTTCATAGAAAATGGGTTTTCATTCAGCCGGTTGCAAGTTTGCTCCAACTCAACACCTAATGATGTGTCGAAATGTGACTGGACTCAAAGAGAAAATCCCTTCGAGTCCAAATGCACTGGATCCAGAGTGGAATCTAGTTTTCTTAAACATGGGGACTATTAAACTCCCTGATAGCATATCTCTTGTGGCAAATAGGTACATTTGAACCTCCTATTGTAATTCAGCCCTTGTGATGTAGTTTTAGAGCCATCCACATTAAGATCTTGCATTTGTGACTATTGTCAAATAGAGCCTAAAGTTCATTTTGGAAAGAGTACAAATACATACAAAATACAAGGTTTTATACTCTACATATTTGTATTTGTACTCTACAAATATGCAAGGTACATATTTGCATTTGCATTGGAAACAAATGTAGCCTAAAGAAAAAACAACTATAAGGGTAAAAGACTTAAAACATACCCCGAGTTTTCATTAATTGACTTATATATACCTTGAATTTTTCAAATTCATGTGGGTGGTGGGTAAGGAGGCATGCTAAACTGCTCCCCTCTCTCTATCTCCACATGGCCACATCCAAACAACAAACCATAGAAGATTGTAGATAGAGATGGAGGATTGTAAACCCATACAATACATGTCTTAATTAATTCTCAATTTCACACTGACATTAATGAGGCACTTAAAAATATATGCATATCAAGCTTCTCAAAGTAATATATTAAAGCAAATATCATTCATAGGGATGGCAGTTTTTCCCATAAAATCGGGGCCTGCCCCGAATGAGACAGATTTTCCCTGATCTAATATGGGGATAGGGTTTGCATATAATTCCTTGAACCAACCCCAAACCCAATGGTAATTTAGTAAAATATTCATAGATTTAATATTAATTTTTAAGATATCTCTAAGTTTTTCCCAAATTCTTAAAATCTTAGGATCTCATAATTCCATTTCTAAAGTACGCATAAATTGTCATAACCAATTCTTAAAATACCCTTGAATTCTCATAATCCTACTTGTAAAATATCCACAAATTATATTATTTTTATGTGGTTGCCTCTAGGCGGGGAAATTTTGGGGATTCCCCCGTCCCCAATGAGGACTGGGCTTCATCCAGGAAGTCCATCTCTCTCTCAACCTAGCATGTTTAAGTCTTTTACCCTAATTGTAATTTGGTTTTATTAAAAGGTAAAGTCTAAGGCTGCGTTTGACGAGGCTCCTAATAAGTGATTTTTGATTTTATTAAGTTTATGAAGAAAAAAAAATGCAATATATATATATATATACACACACTTGGTAAAATAGCTGCAAACATTTTTTTTCCTGGATCAACGCCAAAATATGATGACTTCTAACTTTTTTATATTTATAAAAAGCACATTTTAAAGAAGAAAAATCTATTGCCACCAAACAGTAAAACATTTATGAGAAACACTTTTAAAAAAGTGCTTATTAAAAAGTCCCCTAAAAGCCCCTAAAGCTATTGTTCAAGTTGGAGGGTTAGGTTTGGAGGTTAAGACAAAAATAAAATGTGTGCAGGTTAAACTTGAGTTAAGACAGCTTTTTCTTTCTATAAAAAGAGTAAAATGTTTAAACTATCCCTAAGTTTTATGAAATGGACTAAATTTACCCTAATGTTTGGAAAATCATTTAAAACACCCTTAATTTTTCTGAAAATTGACAAAATCTTCCCGTACCGTTAGCATGTCATTACAATTAATCTACTCACATGTTATGCCATGTGACTTATATAACATTTTTAAACATCAAAACTACCCATTTTATGATTGAAAATACTCATTGGCCTTGGCTGAAATATCGATTTTTCTCTTCAATGTTCTTAACCTGATTAAAATTTTCAATAGGTGAAACTGGTGTGTGACAGAGGGCCTAAGCAAGCAGCTGTTGGATGTGATCTCAAAGTAGATTGTATTGATGGGACTCTACTGTTTTAAATTTACGTGGTGATTGATCTTGGTAATTAACAATTCCTTGGGCTCAGTTTAGAAGGAGTTTGTAGAATGCAAAATCATACATTTTGTATTATTTTGTATGTATTTATATCGTACATATTTGTATTTGTACTCCTTCCAAAGTGAGCCTTGGGCTCGATTAACGTTTGACAGTAGTTCAAGTGCCTTGGCCTTATTGAATCAATTGTTGGCATTGAATCGACAATTCTGTAGTTGATCTCCCTCTTATTCAAGCTTAATATTACTGATGATTGTATTGCTCTATATGTGAATCAATGAACATGTTAAAGTTGTACGTGTAAGATGAGAAAGATTATTATTGCGGAGCGTTATTTTGATGCTAGAGATTGATGCAGTCCACTATCCCTAAGCTCAGTTTGAAAAGAATACAAATGCAAATTTGTATTGTACAAATACATACAAATAACAAGGTTTTGCACTTTACAAATTTGTAATTGAATTCCTTCCAAACTGAGCTTAAATGAAAAAAAAAAAAAATCAATGAATAAATTGATGATCCTCTTGATCAAATCATCTCTTTAGAACTTCATTTCCATTGGGCTTGGTTTACTTATTAGAAGTTCCTTTTCAGTGGGCTTGGTTCCTAAAATACTTTAAGTACCCCTACATGTTATAGGTGATGGATTTAGAGGAAGCTGGTTCCTCTTGTATATTTGAGAAAAGCTCAGGTTAAAGTGAAAATATACTAAATTATAGAATCAGTGGGTTCTTTTATTTCCTAAGTAAATAGGACAATAACTGTTTTAGTTGTAAAAAAATTAAGAATGCATTATTAAAAAGGGCCATTTTGTCCCATCCAATATGAGAAAATTAGTATCCACTTGGAAGATCCTGGGTAAGTGATACCCGTGAAAAATAAAATTTTCATGAACCTTACATATATCTAAAAGAAGAACATGAATATCTTAATTAATGGGAACCAAAGTCCCATTGACCAACTTTCCTTCATCAAAATCCAAAAAAGCAAACAAGTTAAGAGGCTTTTTAATTAATAGGGTAAATTAGTCTATTCCCGAAGGCTATGTTTGGTTTGAAGGAAAAGGTAAGGAAAGGAAGGGAAACCTATATAAGTTTTGTAAAAGTTTCCCTACCTTTCCTTTCCTTCCCCTACTTTTTCCTTCAAACCAAACACAACCTAAAACTATTTAGAGGTAGTTTACTTATTTTACTAAAAAAAATATGTACAACATACAAAATGATATAAACGGTAAATTACACGGACCCTTAGTTGCATGAGGTTAGTGAATAGTGACAAAGACCCTTGAACTTTGGCCGTTAGAAAAAGACCACCCTCCTTTGGGGTTCCCTTTTAGTTAACTTCGAAAAATTCTCCTCTCACCATTTAATTTTTTAAATATCCAAATTACCCTTTTCTAATTTAATTTTATTTTACCTTAGAAATCAATTTTTAACACTTCTTAATGTTGATACTTGAATGCTTGTTTAGATGTGTAAAACGGGCCATGTTGGGCTGACAATGCACGACCCGTGGGCGGTCTATGCAAAGTGCGGGCTATGTCGGGCTGCCGCCCTCCCTTGGGATAATTTGGGGGGTTGGTTCGGCACAGACCACGGCCCAGGCCCGTGCGGGCCCATGTCGTGCTGTGGGCCGAACCTTGGGCCAGGTCAGGCCAAAGCTATTTATTTAAAAAAATAGACAAAAAGCTTAAAATTTTAATTTTATATAAATTTGATATATACAATTGCTTATATATATAATAATTAAATAAATTAATATAATAAAATTAAAAAAATATTTATTTTATTAATATATTATATATTATTATATAATTATAATATTATATAAATATATATAAAATATATATAAATAATTTATATGTGCCACACCAACCCAGCCCGTGGACCTAAAACCCCATACTCAACACAGCATGCACGATTATGCCAGGCTGACACGACGAGCAAACCATCGTACCGAGCCGATCTAAATTCGTGCCGGACAGCGGGCGGCATGGCCCGGTATTCCTTTCTAGGCAATTCATTTTTGGGCGATGGAACTTCCTTTGTCGTCTAAATCGCATCACGATTTTTTGATTCTTCAGTCAAGGGCTTAAATTCTAAGATGTATTTACTCGGTTTATTTAACTTCGATTGGAGCGGTTTCGAAGATGATACAACTACAATAGCTTGAGAGGATTCCAAATAAAAAAAAAAAAAACCACCATTTTTCAGTAGATCCTTTCATTTTCTCTAATTTTGGAGAGGAAATATTATTCATTTTCAACTTTAGTAGCAAGTTAGCAACGGACGAAGTCGGCGAAGTGCTAGAATTCTGAGGCAACGTCGACGACTAAGTTGCCACAGTAACTGAGACTGAGGTCAGAGCAGAAACTCTCGACTTTGCCTCGTTACTTGATCCATTGGTCTCTTTTGAATCTACCTTCTGTGATGCGTTTATTGTAATTTCTTGGTTTGACGGGCACTGTGGTTGTCTTTTCAATCCATACAGATGCCACATCTGACCTCGTCAGAGAAGAAGATTTTAGTACTCAAACCGAGGTTACTTATTGCGTAAATCCGTTACTCGGAAATCCTTTTCTGTCTGGTCGAGAGGAAGAATTGCGGACAAATCTCTACACTATGCATTAATGGCTTTTCAGGGGTTTGGCAAGAACTCTGGCCCTTCTGTTCCTCCTAAAGCACAGACACCTTTTGGGACTTTACCTCGTTCTCCCTCTCCAACAATCTCTCCCCACAACTCAACCCTTGCCCAACAATCTCGAGGGTAATATTCCGCCTTATTTGTATCTCTTTTATTTCTTAAGTTGTATCTTTTTTAATACCTCCCGGATTGATTTTTTCACCCGTGCATTTGTCTGTCTAAATCTGTCATGGTTGTTACCAGTGCGAGGATTTGCTCAAGAAGTTATACTACTTTTTTCTTTTTCTTTCTTTGTAATGTCTTAAAGAATTTGGGAACTAGACGCACCCTAAATCTGCAGCCAAGTGTCCACATTAAGGCTCTTCAATTTGTTTCAAGATGTTGCAATCGATAATGTACAACTAAGTAATTTTCCTTAGTTTAGACTTTCTTGTATTTATTTTAGCAGTTTGGCTATGGGCAACCCGCAGAAGCAACACAATTCATATCAGTGTATTAGTTTGAAGAATCGCTATAATGGATTGAGTTAGACTGTAGTAAAGCATATCGGGAAACCCTAATTTATAGGGTGTTACGCCTGCTCCAGTTCTTATAAAGCTTTGCACTTTACTTGGTCCAGGTCGTTGCTAGTTCTCTTAGGTTTTTGCTCAGAATCATATTGCAGTAGATGCTTCATCCGTCAAGTTATTAAACGTGAAGATGCTGAAGAGGACATCACCCCTATAATTAGGGTTAGGGGTGAGGGTGAATAAAGTGTCAGATGGGTGCTGGCCTGTCGGGAGTGCAATGTGATCCTTGTACTATTAAAATTGAAGAGGAAACGTTTTAGGGCCAATGGTGCTTTACTTATGGTCCTAGGATCATCTGGATTAGGTGGGCTGTTTAGAGGAGCAAATGGGAAAATTGCTGGTCTACTCAGGTTCAGGTTCAATTTGGGAGGGGTCTCTATAAGGGATTATATGCTTTCATCACCACAGATTTTACAGCTTGATTCCTTGCCTTAGAAGACCTCTTGGCAGAGGTTGGAATGAATGCTAATGCACTCAGATGGCCATTGGGCAGTGGGCACTGAGATATAATATTAGAAAGGCATGATATTTTGTAGAGAAACGACTTGCCACATGACAATTTCCTGTCTGTTTGTGGTGGGAATTTGGTCCTGGTTCTTTTCTCTCTCTGGGTGTAGGTAGCTTCTTCCATCAGATTTGGGAACTCTTTTCAAATCCTCATTCACTCTACCAAGGCAAAGTGGCATGATTATGTAGAGAAGTAAAAGAGGGGTGCTTGGAACAATTTGGAAAGAGAGAAGTGAAATAATTTTTAATGGTAAGACTCGGTTTAGGTGTGCAATAATTTAAGGCATCACAATGAAGGTGGTATGGAAGAAGATATGTAGTGAAGAAAAAAGGGAGATGAGGACTTAGGGGGCTGTTTCTAGCTTAAGCTGGAGGAAGCTTGGCATCTTTGTATATGATCCATTTTGTATTCTTTTTTCATAATCAATAAGATCACAGTTACCAATAAAAAAGTATTCCATTGTACTTTTTTTTTGTGGAAATATAACTATTACTTTGATCAAAAGAAGGGGAGGGATGCACATGAGAAGATGCACAAAAGCAAAGGCCTTGAGAACAAAAAAAGAGCAAGGCCAACTTTAAGTACTTGGCATTGTATTATCCCTTCCCAACCTAGAATTTTCAATGTCATCTCCCACCTGATTCAATTTTCTGGGATCCATTTGAAGTTGCAATTGATAGAGGAGACTAAAGGTTAGCCCAGTGCATGAGGCTCCTGCCAATGCAATCTCAGACCACCAATCACTGGGAAGTCTTTAGGGGACAGCAAACAAATCTTGACTAGTGGGTTTGGTTTGTTTGGTCAGAGCTCAAATATGTCACATCTCTGTGGACTCAGATTAGTAGTTTTATGGATTTGAAACATTGCCATTGAGGAAGATAATCTAATAATAGATTTGGGTGAGGATCTCCATGGAGGTTAAGTCACCAACTTTGATAGGTGAAGTCTTTGATTTCTAGATCGATTGCTTGTTCATTTGCGCTCAAGAACCATCAATTCCTTAGATAGTCTGTTAACTAGAGGAGGGGTTATGAACAATGATTTCATTGCTTGACTTTCCCTTGTTTTCATTTGTACAAGGGAGCCCACTGGGGCTTGGGCTGCCCCTATTAGCTTTACAATTCCAGGGTGTTATATGTTGTATATGGACACACCTTTGATTACTTAGTAGACTTAATGTTACTGATAAAAATTTTAAAATCTAAAATATCACATGCGCATATTTGTATTCATATGAATGCTAAACCAAAAAGTTTCTCTTAGATGTACTTTGCATTCATATAGTGTTGATGATATGCATCTCAGTAAATCCCATATGGTGATTCTCTTGTCCAGATCCACTATATCTCCTCCTCAATGGAATAGTCGGCCAGAACCACTTGTCAATGGCTCAAACTCACAAACTTTTCCAAGACCATATGCAAGTAAGCCATATGTTGGTCCAGGTACTGGAAGCAATGTTCCAGCCAAGCCTGCCAACTTTCAATACCCAAAAGGAACTGGATTGCCCCCTTTTCTGTCAGCTGATGAAGATTTCTTGGGAAACTCAAGCCAGAATGTCTCTAAAAGGTAAATCTACATGATAATTTATCTACTTTATTGATTGTGTTTAAACTCTTTGCTGTTTTTCTTTTTGATGGATGTCCAAGCCATAAATTTCAATTCGTAATATATTATAGGATGTATTAACAAACATAGTAATGAGATATAACTAGCAATTAGCCATTTATATTACAGTAAGGCAGTTGCCTTGTGAATTTTGTCACCTAGTTGCTTGGTTGGGTGCCTTTCTTACACAAGCATGGCATTCAGGTGAGGCACCTAGCCAAGGGCTCCTAGTATATGCCTTGACAACTATGGTTAGTTCCTGCTGTCATCTTAAATGCCCTTGTTCAAGGAACAGACTACATCATTTATAGAGGCCAATCTTGTGCCAAAGTCATCTATTTGTGATCACTGGGTGGTTGGGGGGATGAATTATTTTGAGAAGGAGATCATATTTCAAAGCCAGTCATTGAAGAGGCACTGATAGAAAACACAATAGTAAGGTGGTGCATTAGGTAAAATCTTTGAGGATCTTTGATCCATTCTCAATAGGTGATTTATTCATTGATTGGCAGACAGTGGCATCTTCTTCATTGGCTAGAATATTCATATATTTCTCCTTGGACTATAACAGCACCTGGCCACATTTAATTAAACTTTGATGGCTGTTGTTTGGGCAATCCTGGGCCATCTGGCATAGGCAGAGTCTTCAGGAATTGCCAAGCGAATACCGTGGCTATTTTTTTCCGGTCTCATGGGTTATGGTATTAGTAAGGGCGGGACTATAGGTAGTATTAAAGGGCTGCTGCTAGCATACTTGCACATGTATAATATATCATTATTTTCACATATTAATAAAACCTCTCATTACCAATAAAAAAATCATTCCATCAAGAGGGGGAGATGGCAAGATCATTTGAGAGGGAGATTATATACCAAAGGAATGCCAGGAGCATTTTGTAATTCTTTGACAACCTAATTTTAATGGATTTTAACACTCAATGCTTGTAAAAGAATAAGGAAATCTATGATATGGGAAAGACATGGTGCCAGAAAAGCTTTGACCAATCAAAGCCACCCCCATGAATTTTGATTAGTACCACACCTGATTGGTCACCTCTTTTATGATACCAGTTGATTGGCTGTAAGCTTTTCTGATGTTACATCTTTCTGGTATCATAATCGAACCCAAAAGAATAATATTCTTTCCCAGGACATTTGAGTCTCGTCGCCCTATTTATTTCTTTTTGTCTCAGTGAACCTCATATAATAAATGTGCAGGCCTGTTTTATCTCCTTCCAGCTGGGATAATCAATCAAGATCTCCAGTAACCTACACTGATTCACAGATTCATCAAGGTCCATCCCTGGTTCCAACTTATGTAGATGCTCATGATGTTGGAACACAGTTGCGGACCAAGGTTTCCAACAGTCAAGTTCCAACCAGAACCAGATCTCCTCCTGGTCCATATGGGAATGAAATCTTCCGAGCAAACCCTCATCCAGATTCTACTGGAAGGTAAAGTTTTCCAAATACTGATACTTGTCATTATTATTAGGTAAATACTGGGTGAAGTGAATGTTGCCACAATGGCTACATCCCACATTTCCTGTAATAACTTGCATGGTGTCTCTTGCCCTGCCATACAGTTCCCACCTGGATAATTAATCTGTATGTTGTGGCAAGGTCTATGTTGCCTAAGTGCTCCCCCGCCTTATTATTAAGGTTTGTTTGGTTCAGATAGGAATTGGAATCAGCTGGAATGGGATTTCATTCCCAAGGGAGGGGGAGGGAATGGCCATTCCACTAGGATTGGGAATGGGATTCAGATTCCACCCAAGCAAACAGTTGGAATTGATAACCCATTCTGATTCTGATTCCAGACCTGTATTCCTACGAACCAAATGGGGCCTAAGATCTCCTAGTTACTTATGCAGTTAAGATCGTCTTGTAATTTTCTTTTCCAGGCCTACTAATTCCCAAACTCACCAGAAGTCCTCTGTTGCTCGTAATATTAATGTTGAAGGTGCGGGAACCAAGTCCACCTCCTTTCTAATTCCCAAAAGGATGAGGTCACCTCCTTTACCTCCTACTGATGAGAATTCTATGGGAAGTTTATACTCCACCCAAGATGATAATGAACGGTAAGACATCATGCCACTCAGGCTGTGCTTGGTACGAGTGCAACTGCAAATATGTTCAATGCATATGCAAACATGTTCAGTACATGAAAATGCAAACTTGGTTTGGTTTTGCATTGATAAATTTTGTACTGGTTTTTACATTGAACAACTTAGAGTGAAAATGTTTGCTGCCATTTTGAATGCAAAAGTGTCAGAAAAACAAATTTACTTTCATTTTCAGTACAAAATATATTCTTACCAAATGTCTGCAAAACTGAACCAGAGTGCAAATTCACTTTAGTTCAGCATTTGCACCCATACAAAATGCAGCTTCAGTTTGACATTTATTCTCTATAGGTTTCTTTCCAAAACTTCCCTTTTGTTCTATTTTTACACCATGTATATTGCAGAGAAGCGCAAGCAAAGGCAAGGCGTTTGGCTCGATTCAGTAATGATCTAAGGCAAACTGAGCAAAGCATGCATGATCTAACAAAGCACAAATTGTCAATGTATGGACAAGATGAATCTCTGGTGGGGAGGCGGGAGTTTGTTGCAGAGCACCCAGTTGAAGCAGGGGGTGATTTTCCTAATGGCAGCACTTCTGATTTTGAAGGCTTAGAATCATCCCATGTCATAATTGGGTTATGTCCTGATATGTGTCCAGGTATGATTTTGAGCATCAAAATATGGATCTGTTTCTAGGTATTCCTAAAAGAAAAGATTTTGATCCCTAGGATCAATTGGATTGTGTTTAGATATTTTGGGTCTGTGGAATTGGTTCCTTCTCATTTGTTAAGGTAGCCATGAATTTTGCTTTGTTTTTCAGAATCTGAAAGGGAGGAACGTGAGAGGAAGGGGGATCTCGACAAGTATGAACGCCTGGATGGAGATAGAAATCAAACTAGCAAATTCCTTGCTGTTAAGAAGGTTTAACATGATCCCTTCCAGAACTGTTGTCATCCTTTATTACTCGTAATCGAGAGCATAATAAAAGTGTTTTTCCTTTTATGCAGTATAATAGGACAGCTGAGAGGGAAGCAGATTTGATAAGACCTATGCCAGTTTTGCAGAAGACGGTTGATTATCTTCTGGCATTGCTAGATCAACATTATGATGATCGATTTCTGGGCATGTATAACTTTTTGTGGGACAGGATGAGGGCAATTCGAATGGACCTGAGGATGCAACATATTTTTAACAGAGGCGCTATAACCATGCTGGAGCAAATGGTCTCTCCACTACTAGATGTCCTTTAGTTCTCTTGTGTTGTATATGCATAGGCTATTCTTTCTCATGTTAGAAAACTTCTCCTGAAGAATATATGTAATATCCCGATGCATATTGAGTTTTGGACTTGTGATAAAGAACTTTTTCTTCTCAATAGCTATAACTACATGCAATGTTAAGAGGAATCCTTGTATAAGGGAGGTAAAGAGGCTGTCCTTACTGAGTGGTCCAATTGCAAAATGGGCTGGATCCTGCCAACTAGTAAGTCCCACTTAGGAAGTCTCTTTTGCCAAAACACAACAGATTGGATGGCCTAGCAAGTTGATCTTGTACAATCTTTAGACAGTGGGAAAAAACCTTGGAACATACCAGGAGAAGAGGTTCATGGATAGGACAATTGCAATCATGTTGTCAGCTCAAACTTTATACTCAAGTGGGACCCGAGAAGAATATTCATTTCCATTGCATGCATGTCACATGTACAAATGTTGGGACTGGGGACTCAAAATCTTCCTTTTTTAGGGCCATTTCGGTTTTGAAAAAATGAATTAATGAGTTTCTCTCCATCAGTTTTACTACTTTTTTTACCCTCCTTCCAGAAAATTGAAAGTTCACAAGTGCCATTTGCTTTTACATTTTACGTATTGCATTTGAAATATGCATTAATTGGCTGGTATATGCCTTGTCATACAGATTGTCTAAATAGTCTTCTTGCTTTATTTTGCCAGATAAGACTCCATATCATAGCCATGCATGAATTGTGTGAATACACAAAGGGAGAAGGCTTCTCAGAGGGATTTGATGCACACCTAAACATTGAGCAGATGAACAAAACATCAGTTGAATTGTTCCAAATGTATGATGATCACAGGAAGAAGGGAATTAATATACCAACAGAGAAAGAGTTTCGAGGATATTATGCACTTCTTAAGCTGGACAAGCATCCTGGATACAAAGTAAGTTGTATGTGGTGGTGACCAACCTTGTTAGCTAATTTAATTTGAAGTAACCTATGAACATAAATGGCTTGTCTAGGTTGAACCTGCAGAGTTCTCACTTGATCTTTCAAAAATGACTCCAGAGATAAGACAAACCCAAGAAGTTCTTTTTGCCCGTGAAGTAGCAAGGTATTTGAAGTTTTGAATCTCTTCTATTTGTTAGTTTCAGCTTGTTTCTATCAAGCATATTCTGATAATGGAAATGATTTTCCTTTCCAGAGCCTGTAGAACTAGTAATTTTATTGCCTTCTTTCGGCTTGCAAGGAAAGCAACTTATCTTCAAGCATGTCTGATGCATGCCCACTTTGCGAAGGTATCTGTTACTCATATTATTATTGAAACTGGATTCAGTCAGTGCAAGGTCTGTTCCAACAACCTTTATAGCCTTGCATTGGGAACATCTCCCCATGAAATAAAACACAGAAGTACGGAGATGTTCCCAATGCAAGGCTGTAAAGGCTGTTCGAACGGGTCTTGCACTGACTGAAGCCGATCTCATTTTTATTAGTTTTAATCTCATCCCACATATTTGTGCCTTCAGTGCAATGCATCAAGTGTATATTTTTATGGGTGCATGTTGGGTATCAGTCTTGTAGAATTTACACAGTATTGGGCCAAGGTCCTTTGCCCAAGTTGCAGCCCTAATCTTTGGCCTTATGAGCCCAGATTCACCTTCATTCTTTTCTGCTGCCAGTTTTGTGCTTATCCAGAAAATGTTATTCTTTTCTTTTTATTGATGATTATAACCTTATTAATAGAAAATAAATATGTCAAAGAGGAACAAACAAAATTCTATTATAGTTATTCAGAATGCTGTTCAAGGAGTAAGCATTTGGATTCTGGATTTTTTTTTTTTTTTTTTTTTTKTTTTGTGCTGGTTGATTACCATTTTTTACATGTAAGGTTGGTTTCCTCTTGGGTTCCTTTCTATAAGTTGTTGGCTTGACTTATGTTTTTTCTTCCTTAACCTCTTTCCCTATTGTGTTACCTGGCATCCTTCTTGTTAACTTGTATTCTTTCTTTTTCCTTCTTGTTATTCAATATTTCTGTTACTAATAAAAGAAAAAGGAAAAAAGAATTGTTATGTCATCTACTAGTAAGAGTTGAACATACTCACAAATGTGAGTCTGTCCTTCAAATCTGATATAAAACTGATAAAAGAAATAGGAAAAGGTGAGAGAGAAAGAAAGGTTACAGCAGAATAGAAGAAGAAGATGGAGAAGAAGAGAAAGAAGAAGAGAGTTCGATGGTTCTCTTTCTCCCTTAACTAATCTTCATAGTTTTCAAGGTGCCAAGGCGAGGCTAGGCGACAGGGGGGGTGCCTGATTTTTTTAAGTAAAAACATGTATCTTATGGTAGTTCCCTAGGTTCCATAATCATATTTCCTTAATAAATATCCATAATTTTCATAAGAAAAGTATAAACTTYATGTTAAAGTWTAKAAAATCAACATATTCCAACATATTCATGAGAAGAAAAAGAAAGAAAAGAAAATTAAAAAAATATAGGGGCTGAACCCCTATTTCTGCTATAGGAAAAGAAGAAGAAGAAGAAGAAGAAGAAGAAGAAGAAGAAGAATAAATTAGTATATAAACACACAAAATTAGTTAAGAAAATGTGTTGATTGGACACCATTTTATGTTCTTCCTTGCTTATTGGTTCATGTTTTGAAGTGTTTGAGGGTTCAATACAACATTTAGCAATGTTCGTGTTGATTAAACCCTAACTAATGAGAAAATAATAAAAGAAATTAGTATATAAACACAAAATGAATATTTTAGTTTAAAAATGTCTATTTTATAATTATAACCGGAAAAAATTAAGAATATAAAAGTTTTTTATAACACACTATAGAAAACTACTTGGCGATTAGGCGAGGCGAGCCTCCAAGGGCGCCTTGTCGCCTAGGCGTCGTCTTGACAACTATGCTATAATCATGCGGATTACAAGTCTGCCCTTTAAGTGGGCGGCCAACAAAGCAATAACTTAAAAGAACTTAAAAAGAGGTTAATAGGCCCATTAAGAAAAGACCTATTAACACATAAACCAGATATAACATTACTTAAACATAAAAGAAATATTAGGGCCCATTCGGCCCAATCTCTCTACACTCCCCCTCAAGTTGAGCTTAGATGTTAATCATGCCCAGCTTGCTTATATAGTGTGTTAGCTTTCCTTTTGGAACACCTTTGGTCAAAACGTAAGCCAATTGCTCTTCTGAAGCAATAAATGGCAAGTAGACTTCCCTTGAAGCAACTTTTTCCCTTATGAAATGTCTATCAACCTCTATGTGCTTAATTCTGTCATGCTAAACAAGATTATGTGCAATGTTGATAACTGCCTGGTCGTTACAGTAGAACATCATTGGCTTTTCATAGTCAATACCCAACTCTCCCAAAAGTGATATCAACTACAATAATTTTGACACTCCATGTGCCATTGCCCTATACTCTGCTTCAGCTAAGGATTTGACAACTACAAATTGTTTCTTATTTTTCCATGAGATAATGTTCCTTGCCACCAAGGCACAATATCTTGAGGTGGATCTTCTATCATCAATAAATCTGGCCCAATCAACATCAGTGTATGCCTCTAGCTTCATGTGTCCATGCTTGGCAAACAAAATACTTCCCTGGAGTGCCTTTCAAGTAGTACAAAATTCTTTCTATAACTGCTAAATGTGTATATCTGGGAGAATGCATAAATTGACTAACACTTACTTCATAGGAAATATCTGGCTGAGTCATACAGAGATATAACAACTTCTCGAGCAGTCTCTGGAACACTCCCCTATCAGTTAACAATTCACCATCAATAGCAGAAAGCTTATGGTTTAGATCTATAGGGGTAGAAGCCGGTTTAGCACCAAGTTTACTAGTCTCTGCAAGGAGATCAAGAACATACTTGCATTGAGAAATGAAGATACCATCCTTAGATCTAGCAACTTCAATTCCCAAGAAGTATCTTAGATCTTCCAAACCTTTTATCTCAAATTCAGTGTTAAGAAATCTTTTGAGCTTAATCACTTCCCGAGTGTCATTACCCGTAACCACAATGCCATTAACATAAACAATCAGAAAAGCCACCAAAGAGTTATTTCTCTTCACAAACAAAGTATGGTCAGATTGAGTCTGTGTATAACCAAAAGAAATAAGGGCAGCTCTGAATCTCTCAAACTAGGCTCTAGGGGACTATTTGAGACCATAGAGAGATTTCTTCAATTTACATACCTTCCCTTGCATTTCCTTTCCATACACCCCTTGAGGTAAAGACATATAGACCTCTTCATGTAGGTCTCCATTCAAGAAGGCATTTTTAACATCAAACTGCCCCTGGAGGCAAAGACATATAGACCTCTTCATGTAGGTCTCCATTCAAGAAGGCATTTTTAACATCAAACCGGTGAAGGGGCCAATCAAAAGTAGTAGCTAGAGACAACAAAGCTCGAATTGAAGTCATTTTAGCCACAGGAACAAAAGTCTCAAGGTAATCAATATCATACATCTGAGTGTAACCCTTAGCAACCAATCGAGCCTTAAATCTCTCAATAGTGCCATCAAAATGATATTTGATAATGAATACCCATTTACAACCCACTGGATCCTTCCCTTCAGGCAAGTCCACAATATCCCAGGTATGGTTCTTATGCAAAGTATCTAGCTCAGTCATCATAGCATCCCTCCATTCAGGTTTGGACAATGTTTCTGGTATAGACTTGAGAATCACGTGGGTAGAAACATAGGCAAGAAAAGAATAATAGGTAGGGGATAGAAAGCTGTAGGAAAAATGTTTAGAGATATAATGTGCTGTACACTTCCACTTGCCTTTGTGAAGGGCAATAGGAAGGTCAAGGTTTGGGAAGGTAGTAGGTGGGTCAGAGGAAGGCTGACTTGTTACCTCAGTAGTGATGGGAGGTGCAAGAGGCTTTGATGAAGGAGTGAAAACAACTTGCCCATGCATGAATCTTTGTCTTTGGTACCACCTTTAGAGAACAGGATGTGAGAAAAATATAGGAGAATGAGATGGGGGAGGGGGAGTATGAACATGTGTGGTAGATATAGTGGAAAGAGAGGCAACAGAAGAAGATGACTCAACAGAAGACTCAAAAGGAACTGGAAGAGGAATAGCTAGAGACATAGCAAATGGTTCCTTAGAATGCTCCCCCTCAGGAGGAATACCAAAGAAAGGAATAGACTTAGCAAAAGTGACATCCCTAAAGACAAAGCGGGTGCCACGAACCGGATCAAACAACAATGTCCTTTTTGTGTGGAGGCATATCCTAGAAAAATGCACTTATGTGACTTAGGCTCAAATTTGTGTCTCTGATGATTATGAACATGGACATAGCAGGTGCACCCAAAAACTTGGAGAGGAAGAAAAAAGAGATCCTCATCTGGAAAGAGAAGGCTAAACATGGTCTTGAAACCCAAAACCCGGGAAGGCATACAATTAATAAAAAAAGTGGCAGTAAGGACCATCGTTCAAAGTATCGACACGTATCGGCCGATACGTATCGTTCTGGGACCCCTTCGATACGCCCCTACAGTGGGTGTATCGGAGATCTGACCGGTTCAGGGGGTAGAGAAGACCTAAACCGGCCCCCCTGAACCGGTTGCGAAAAAAATAAAAAAAGCCTGAAACACTATCTATTCGCCCGATACGTCCGATACCGACGTATCGGGCGTATCGATATTTTGAACCTTGGTAAGGACAACATCCCCCCAAAATTTAATAGGAACATGAGATGCAAAACGAAGGCATCTAGCAACCTCAACCACATGGCGATTCTTCCTTTTTGCTACTCCATTTTGTTGTGGGGTGTAGGAACAAGAACTTTGATGAATAACCCTAAAGGTCTCAAAGTAGGATGAGAAGTTCTTCTCAAAATATTCCTTAGCATTATCAGATCGGAATATTTTGATCTAGGTGTTAAATTGGGTAAGGATAAGTTTATGAAATTTTTGCACAATAGTTGGTACTTCATCCCGAGATCTCATGAGATAAATCTAGGTATAGCAAGAATAATCATCAATAAAGTGAATAAAATATTTGTAACCCCCAATAGTAGGCAAATGATATGGTCCCCACACATCAGAGTGCACAATATGAAACGGAGAGTTAGATCTTTTATTGCTTACTGAATAAGAATGTCTACAATGCTTCGCAAGTTCATAAGACTCACAATGAAGACTCGATAAAGACACTTCCTTAAACATATCGGGAAACAAATGACTCAAAGCAGAAAAAGGTAAATGACCAAACCATAGATGACATAACATGACTCTTATCATTAAACTGACAAAATAGACTCCA